ATACCCCTACATCCCTACCCATGATACCCCGGCCTGGAACCCAGGCCCTTGTTGTATCTCGTGCCGACAAAATAGTTATTTCAGCCTTATTCGCTAGTTCACTTGTCCGAAATAACATGTCTACAGTATTATAAAAGCGAACAGTGCATAAAAAGATGTACTCATAGACTACACCTTAATCGTCTTGCTTTGTTAATATTTCTGGCCTGGACTTTTTCCTTTTCTTTTGTTTATGTTTCATTGTTATACCCATTAACGTATTTTTTAAAGATAAAACTTTGATTTCGGCTACCGCGGCCGTTTACCGCTTCTATAGCCGTACCCTTAGTTAAGTAATAATAAGATGGACCTCCCTCTCCCTTGAATAGGCGTCATAGTAAACCCTTACGGCCTCCACATAACGGTCACATCTGGCCTCGGGGGTGACTCTCATATAAAAAGAATAGGGGTGTTCATCGGAAACTTTGCCGGAAAATAACCTCTGTAAAGAGGCACCATGATCCTGTTTTGAGGAACATTAAAAATGTTGTCATTACAGGTAAGATTGATTCTGAGCCATTTTTGTATGGCACACGGTGGTTTTATTTTCTGAAACAGGCCTTCTCTGGTCCTGTAAATATAAGAATTTCCTTTTTCCCTTGAACACCCTACCTTGACTAAAGTGAACAAGATGAGAGAAAAGTTTTTAAGGGTCCCGCTCCAGTAACGTTTATTCCCATATCCCTCTTCTCGATCCTGAATGGTTCCCGCTCTTTGTTTCTCTTGAGAAATATCACGCAGGGTTGAGATTTTGTCCCCGCTCATTTGTCGCGGTTCCTAACTTGTCTTCTAAAGCCTTCTGTGGAATTTCTGATCGCTTTACACCCGGTTTCCCCCACCCCCCTCCTAGCTTGTGCCCCCTTCCCTCTCCACCATCAACATATATGAGCAGTTTTTCTCAATCTCTTTACCGTTTGTCGTCTCCATGTAAAAGGTCACTCATTAAATGAAAAAGGCGAAGGCAACCCAGTCAGTGACGAACTGCTGTCTCTGACGAAGAACTTGGGAAAGATGACTGGCCTGGCGAAAAACCTCGAGGACCGGAATACAAGAAAAACTTCAATCTTCTCTTTTAAAAGGTCAAACCATACGACATTCAACGGAACGTCGAGCTATAGACATATGAACAAGTCAAAATGCCGCGCGTGTCAAAATACGCAATAAGACCGGACTAGACACAGTTTACTGAAAAGAAAAACCGAGGGTGCGATCAAAAAACAAAAACAAAACAAAACAAAAAATGTATAAAATTTACAACAATTATAGAATCAAATCAAGCATCTGTTTAGAGTTACGCTTACTGATATGGATTTCTTGCAGTAGTTAACTACGAAATTCTCAAAACCGACCCAGGGCAGGAAAATGTTGACATCTCTTGATAGCGCGTCTAGGACATTTCAAGGTAACTGAAACACAGATAAGTGGAGGCGGGTCCAGGCGGCGGGTGTAGCCTCTCAGTCCAGGCGTTCAGTTAGTTGGGGCGCAGTGCGAAAAACGGCGAGCGAAAAAACAGGGGAGAAGCGCGCGGGTGTAGCGTGGTACTAGCCATGCGGTTGAATGTTTAAATGTTTAGGCTGGCCTTGTCCAGCCACATTTATTCTTTTACTTTTCGAGACACCAATCTTGACACTTTGTCTCCTTGCGCCCCGAAACACGTGATGTGGCAACGCGTGTTTCGGGGCGCAAGTGAGTTCAAAGTAAGGAACTTGATATAGTGAACGGGTCATTTTGCAATTTATGTGCCTTGGCTGTTGGGCTGGCGTTTACATATCGTCGCTACATAGTGCTGACGAGCCCCAAGAAGGGCGAAACAGCTGTCCACTGTTGCGATCCTACTTTATCGGTTCTTCAGCGCCATGTTGGTGTCTCGAAACGTTTTTCATGTAGTATCAGCCTTGCAGTCTATTGTTTATTCCAAAGATGTACGAGTCAAACGGCATAAAAAAATCGGAAAAAAACACCTCCGGGACACTAAGCCGCATCTTTATCTCAGTTACTCCAGGACCGAGTTGCTAGCTATTTTGAATGCCCGTACCATGCATGGTCCCAGGTTTTCTTTCTTCGTGGAAAATCAATCGCGGCGAGTCGAAGTATATGTAAGTAGATGTAGACAGACTGCTTACAGTTCATTTATTAAGGAGGAGATACCCTTCTTAACGGCTCCCTCCCTCTAACTATTCCCAGAAGCGGAGAACTTCCTCGTTGGCTGAGTGGCCTAACCCTGCGCATCGTAATCCCCTTAAACCTCTCAAACTCGATTGAGAAAAAAACTCCTGTAGAGAATGAAAAAGGCTCATCCCGTAAAAAGAAATAACTTGCAGAATAAGATACAATTGATTTATATTAAAATTGTGACGACTAAGGCTGGAAGATTAGAAAAGGTTTCAGTATTTTCCCAAAAACAAGCGAAATCTGGTAGGTAAAAATTCAGAGATAGCGCAAATAAACTAAACTAAACTAATGGCATACGCAAGTCACAGCGGTAGAAATTATGGTGTCCCACTCGCCAAAAATACATGACGGGACGGCTTTTCGAAATAAAAGGTCTTCCTCTAGTACATTATACTAAACAATTCAAGCAAGTCTTTCTGGAATAGGATTTGCTGGTTTTATGACTTGATCTCGTAAGGCGGAGTTGGCGTATACTCCAGTCTCGTCATGCCACGTGTTTTGTCCGTGTCGCCTGTAATCATCTACATCCGTAAACTGGGAATGGCATCTCCGCCATAGCGCGGACTGATCTGGTTCTGGGGGAGGGGTCTGTGGGGAGAACAAAACACCAAACATCAACGAAAGACAAAAATCCCGAGATTGCTGTTATTCGCGAGTGGCGTTTCAGTATGCTTGGGATAAATTTTTCCGGTTTTGGGATGGATGTTCGAGGGAAAAAATACACGAATCGGTATACAAGTTGATGACCCGGAGAAAGTGGTACTCAGTGTCTCCAAGTCCCATTAAAACACGATTAACGCGCTTTCTGACCCATTCGAGCATTGACTTAACTGAGGATACCACTGAGTTACATGTAATAGTAGGGAATTCTTAGTTGAAAGGGACTGGAGACAAATATCTCCCGCTGTTTCTTATTCGCTCACATTCCCCCGCGCAACTGTAAGCCTTTGCCATGCGCGCGCTGTTACTTGGCAGGAATTCATTCATTTGTTTACCTTCTGTTGTTCATATGGATATGGGGAATCATAGTCCACTCTGTAAGTTGTGTCAAGATACCTGCAAGGTAATTATACTTAAAATTTATAACCAGTTACTTAAGTTCATAAATAGAAAAGCTCTCTTAAATATTGCTGCCTACAGATCCCAGACACATATTAACTATTAATATTTAGTGAATGAAGCCATTCAATGCTAAGGGGTCTAAAACCTATGTGAGTGGTTCCTCTCAGCTGAGAGATCCTGAGGGATAATTTGGAGGGGGAATTCCAGATCAGTTATCACGTCATGTAAAATTACTTAACCTTCATATTTGGATTTAAATTTATAAGTTGATAAATTAGTTACCGACTTATATCTGATTGGTTAAATAATCTTGTTTTAAGGTGATCATTTTATTTGATTGTCTTAGTTTATTCGAGAAACAAAAATCTTTCAATGATAACAACCAAATAAAAGCAGAAAGCTACATGTATTTATTCACATAAGGCAGACATCTCCCTTAGCACCCGGGCATGGCTGTCTCACTGATCCTGACTGAATTTCGCTTTAACTAAACACCTAAAGCAGACAGCTAGAACTGCATGAGTCCTGGGTATAACTGCCTAAATGATAAGTTAATTTGCTGGATATGGAGAGACAGCAACATAATTTATGCAAAACTTAAAGTACAACTGCACCTCTTTCCGTGGTCTGGTGGATGCCTGGGGAGGACACTACCAAAGCCTCTCTCTGGAGCTCCGGTATCTCTGTTAAGACAAGTTCATGCACACAATTGGTAAATTATACCTTTTGTACTCCTATGTACTTTTACACATATTTTTTTAAATATAATTTACATATAATTTGATTCAGCATGCAGCTTTTGCTATTATATTTAGGAGTGTAGACATACCTGCATGTAGATTTGTTGAGATAATTTAATTTTGAGACCTTCATTTTGAATATCATGCAAATTGCCCAAGACTCTCAAGAGCTTGTCTGACTATCAAAATTTCTTTTATTCATTGAGTTCCCAAAGATTCTGAGACCTGCATTATTTCAATGATTTTTAGTCTCGTCAGGAAGTAAGTTCTGAACAGATTTGAAATAATTATATTGTTCCAGTTTGAAAACTTGGTGGCAATTAACAATATTCCTGCAGTGAAGAAGAGTACATACTTCTTTCACCTCGGTTACATGTAGGTAGTTGACAGTACCCTTACTCAAATTATATTACATCCATGAAATTTACATCCATGAAATAAGCAGTAAACAGTCACTATAGTGAAACTAGATCAATATGCAGTAGAAACAGGAGCTCACAAAAAGGGTGTGAAATGCCACTAAGATGTCCATAATATATTGTTGAATATGGTTCAATTTTTACACCTTACCTTTGAAAGGTAACGCTATTAAAAGTGGTCATGTCTACCATCTGTCGTCTAGTATCCCTTGTTTCAAAATCACTTTTAAGTTTCACTGCCTGTTCCATTTGATCATGACTGGTTGTATCTGGTAAAGACTGAGGAGAAAAAAAAAATATTAAAAACTTAGAACATTTCTATCATAAAAATTATATTGACCACCATTGTTTTTCTCATCACAAGCTTCACACATGCATGTCCATGTACTTTGATCCTTAAAATGTTTAAAGTAGTAAAATTATAATATTAATTTATTTATAAAATTTTTAATCATGGGTTAGGGAAGTGTTGCTTGTTTTGTGCAAGGTGCCCACATGACCTGCATGGGGTTTGAATCCTACTGTGGTTTACCTCAAAGTCTGCAAACCACTGAAGCAGATGTATGTGTACATGTATGACTGTCTATGTTTCATATATTCCCTCCCACCTTTCCCAAAAAGGAATCCTCTCCATTACCCTTGTGGTGTACTGCAGAATCTAGTTGCTGGTATACTGATATACATTTCCCCATCATGTATTTGCTGGATTGTGGATGCCACATATGAGCTGTCTCCACTAGTGAGCCTAAACTGATGCCTGTTCAAGCAGCAGTGTGACTTACATTTAGCTTCTCATTAACATGCAAACCAGGAGTGAATAATTATTGAAACTCGATTACCAAGTCACTTACTGCAGACACTTCACTTTTCTTTTGCCTGCCTACTTTTTTGATGTTCCCCATTGACCTGACAAGCTTGGAACAGGCTCTACTATTAGGCCACTGAGTGTCGAGAAGGTGGCAAAGGATAGACATATATCAATTCTGAGCAGCAATTTATTTCATTAAAAACTAGTTATGTTCTTTGAACTTACCCCGTCTGTAACATTTCCAATGCGATGATACGTAGAATTATGGAGATTTCTCTTTTGAGGTTGATAATCTTTGATGTCATAGTCTTTGGGTTCAGCTTCCCTAGCTTGATGCCTACAGGACATAAGAAATGTTAAATTTCTTTCACCCGGTTGTTAAGTTCTCCTTGGTTAACTAAATACTTTAATAGAGTTGATGAATTAAGTATAGAAAATCAAGCCTGGAGGGAGTAATGCACACGGCTGTACTTGCTTTGCAAGTGGCTAGAGTACTTATTTTGAGTTTGTGTTGAATTCATTTGACCACAATAAACTTTGCTAGCTCCTATCGATGTGTAAATAATCACCAATATGTAATGCATACGTACTCTAGGTAGTAGAGTGTAACTGTTACATGTATATGTGTAGTTGAATTTAAATGTTGAGCAAGAACCGTCCCATGCATTTATGTCTGACTCCACTGGAATACATACCGCCTCAAAAAACAATACGATTTCATGAAGATGAACTTTTTTGACTGAACTGAATCAAGAAAATGAGGTATAACGTTTTATTTGCCTTTTACGAAGACAGGATCAAGAGTACTGTTTATGGCTAAAACACAATAAGGACAAGTGGCCACGGCAAGCCACCGAAACAGATCGAACGAAATGTTTCTATACTGACCAGTTCGACACAAGAGTCGGTCTGCCATAATCCATGTGATCGGATCGTAAGAAAAGAGATCCTTTTCTTTCCACATAATCGGGAATAAAAGCAAGTGGATTCGGATGCGACGCCGACATAGTCGTATGGTGCAAATGCTTTCTCTGTTTACACGATTTTGAAACAATGTAGAGTCTTTTTCAGAGTTTACACAATATCCATGGCAACGCAGCACGTTAGCCTCGCTTTCATAAACGGAGCCCGCAGTTTAGCAGCTGATCATCCCTAAAGAAAAAGAAAAATGGCGGCATATGTGCTCCTTCCAACGTCCTTCTATACTTTCTCTTATTTTCTCTGGAAGAAATCTTCGCTATTCGCCCAGATAACTTAGAAGTATAGGATCTTGATGGTACGAAATATCTTTTAAAATTTCAAATGGAAGCGAACTCGCGTTATTTTCAGCATTTTCAAGCTGCCAAGAACTGCCTCAGACGCGAAAGGTATGGAGATGCGTTGGCGCATTTGGTGTTTCTCGCCAATGTGGAACCTTCCTCAAAAGAAGTGTTAGAGGAAGACTTCATCATCGCTTTGCGCCACTGGACCGATATACTTGAACGTCATGGTGAGCTAGATAAACTGATGGTTTGCCTGCAGGAAGCCTTGAAGCTCTACCCACGAAGCGAAAACATACTCGTAAACACGGGTGCAAGCTTGATCAAGGCCGGAATCACCGACGAAGCTGCGTCGTGTTTTAGACGTGCGTTGCAAGTCAATCCTGGGAGTATCAGAGCGAAAGAAAATCTTGAAAACGTCGCAAATCTGTTGGTCGAGAGATGGCATTTTAGAATGTTAAATGACAAGAAAAGGAACTTGGCTTACAAGCAGGCAATTGCTAAGGCCATAAGCCAAGGGCACGATGTCGTTTTAGACATTGGAAGCGGCACTGGAATTTTAAGTATGTTTGCTGTTCAGAGCGGGGCAAAAGAGGTCTATGCTTGTGAAATGTCTAAGACCATGTATGAAATGGGTCTGGATGTGTTGAAAGCAAATAAAATGGAGAAGTTAGTCCACACCATACACAAGAAATCAACTGAGATGAAAGTAGGTGACGATATTCCACAGCAGGTCTCTCTTGTTGTAACTGAGACATTAGATTGTGGACTTCTCGGTGAAGGAATTCTTGCCACTGTGGAACATGCCTGGGCTAACCTGCTTATGCCTTCCACAGATGACTTGCACCACTCAAATGCAAAGCCTGTTTCAAAGGTCATACCAGGTGGTGCAGTTGTTTATGCTATGGCAATTATGTGTTATGACATCAGACATCAAACCAGGAGCAAACCAATAATTAATGGAATGAACATGTTTCCTGAGTGTAGCATAGGAGCAGAACTAATGGCACAAAAGTCAGAAACGGCATCGTCTGGAAGTATTCTAGATCAGTTGGAACCGTACAACACAGAATGCTTGAACAGGCTTAGAGGTGGTTTCAAAGCTCTGTCATGCCCTTTCAAAGTTACAGAGTATGATTTCAACAATCCAAGTAGCTTGAATAAGGAGAGAAACATAAGTTTTGAAATCCCTGCAACCTGTGATGGTCGGGTGGATGCTATATCAGCATGGTTTGATTTGCGACTGGATGAAGAAATTACTCTTTCCACTGGCCCCAATGATGACTCTCTCTGTTGGGAGCAGGCAATTTTCCCTGTTTACTCAAGTGCTGGAAATTTGTCTGGTAAACTGGAAGTTTCAATGGGAGACTTGATGTCCATTCATGGAGAACTCTCCCAAGAATGTTTGAAGTTACATTTAAGTGGCATTAAAACAACAACAGGTAATGAATCTCATAACAGTGTTACATGTACACTAGCACACAAAGAAATTGCCTCCACAAGGAACAGCTCTTTGACTAAAAACAATGAGTGTAACAGTGAAGTTATAATCATTCCACCTTCTTACATGCGAAGACTGAATGACAATGCCTTTAATGACCTCTATGATGAAGTTATCTGTAGAGCTGTGAAGTCTGTGACACCTGGTCTACATGCATCTGCTAATAATGACAACGCCAGTGGGAAACCTACCGGTAACATTATTGACATCACCTACGGTCCCGCTCTGTCTTCTCTTTTTGCTTCTCGAGGCAAAGCTGGTCATGTCCTAGTGACAAATCCTCACAATGCTGCATGGATAAAATGCATTTTGCATGGAAACAATCTACCACCAGTCATTGAAAGTAGTCCAAGTAAACTTGAAGAAATTGCCAAAGAAGGAAGGAAGTGGGATATTCTTGTCAGTGACACAGTGGAACCGTCTGGAATCATTCGCCAGCAAGTTGTTGAAGATATTGTGTTTGCTCGAGGATGTTTACTGAGACCACAGAGTTTCCAGATTATTCCTATGGGATTCACTTTGTACTGCATGTGTATTGAATCGCCCTTCTTGTTTGCTAACTGTCGCATTGTGAGCCAAGACAATACACTTGGACTCAACATCGCACAGTTTATCAATGAGTTTCAAGTAACAACTCACATAGATGTGGACGTTACAACACTTCCTTTCTCAGCAATCACAGATCATGTTGCTCTTTTCAGTCTGAATTTCATGGAGCAGTTTGATGATGAAAACAAGGTGCTCTCCTTACTTGAAACTCACTCTCAGCAAAGAGTCAAAGCTACAAATTCTGGGAGGATACATGCTATTCCATACTGGTTTATGTTACATCTTGACAATCACCACTCACTGTCAACACATGGTGGGGCTTACGCTGAATCGCACTGGAGACAAGCTGTCATCGTGTTGAAAGAGGAAGTAACTGTAGAAGCTGGTCAAGAACTTCTAATTTCAGCATCATGTGTAAGCAGTAGCATCTTCATTGATGTTATTCCAATCAAGGATTGATTTAAATACACTGTCTAGCACACATCAAACTAGTGTTAAATATAAGAAAGGTATTACTTCAGACTATTAGACAGTGCACAGGGATTTTGGGTTATTCTTGATTTATCAAAAAATTCTGTAAAATATTCCAGTTGGGATATGATGCAAACGAAACACAACTTTTATTATGTGAGCGAAGAAACTTCTGAAAAGGTGGTCCTGTTTGTTTGCTCAGCTATTACCAATGTAAGTTTGCATTTTTGTTACCTGCTATGCACCTTTTGCATTAGTTCTAACTCCTTTTGACTTCTCAGGCTGTGCCAAATTTCATGGCTTAACCACAATGGTGAGTTCTTTGGTGGAAAATAGAAGATCCTCTTTTTGAATGGAAATTCCCTACTAAATTTCTGGAAATTTTGCGGCAAATTGTACAAAAATGTAAACAACCTTTTGCCGACCTGTGTGTGTGGATTATGGATTTTTGTTTTCTTGAAGCTTTTTGAACGTGTATCTTTAACTCAGACTATTCAGTTAGTGCACCTAAAGACATTAACAGATTTTAACAGTAGAGAACTTAAAACAGAATTACTGGCAGGAAGTGGTATTCAGATGTTTTGTTAGTGTTGTTTTAACTAAGAAGTCTTTCTGTAAGCCAGTTATAAACTTCCGTAAGGTCTGTAGTTGTTGTAATAATTATTGAATGGTTTAATTTAGAGATCAACCAGTGGACACTTTCTGGAAGCAAACAAGTGGCAAATTAGTGACAATCTCTTTTTTCTGAATCAGTAAAAATCTGTTTTGGTTTTTTTCCTGAATAAATGAAAACATTAGTCCAAGAATTTAGCAATCAATTTCCTTGTGCCAAGGCCCCCGTCAACTAAGAGGGTCTGGCGGCTCTGGGAATGAGAGTGGGCTTTTGACAATTTTGCATTTCCAGTTAGGGGATCTCACACAGGGGTATCACATTTTGCACTTTTGTTGTACATGTAATCACAGATCAGTATTATCACTTAATAAACATGTAAAACACTGTAGCTGCAGATGACCTGGCTTGGTTTCAATTTCTTTTTTCTCTTCACTCATAATAATAATACTAACAATAATAATAATAATAATAATAGTAATGATAATAATAATTAATAATAATAATAATGAATAATAATAAATAATAATAATAATAATAATAATAATAATAATAATAATAATTGAGTTCAATCAAATTCTCCCCAGTTGTATTCTTACATGTTTGGGGACGGAATTAGGTGACTTTTAGTACTCTGGAACCCCGTTAATCTGGTCATTTGGTCTGCTGGCAGACTGAATGAGGCTTGCTACACTACAATTCATGGTCATGACAAGAAAAACACCAGTATGGTACGGCCACCCCATGCATAAGGCTACCCCTTTCATACAGCTACCCCGTTTTTACGGCTACACTATACATACGGCTAACTCGTTCATACGGTTACCCCATGCATACGGCTACTCCATACATACCCCTTACATACGGCCACCCCGTTAACACGGGCACCTCTTTAATACGGCAACCTCGTTCTTACGGCTACCCCATGCATACGGCGAACCCGTTGATACGGTTACCCAATGCATACGGCTATCCCATACATAAGGCTACCCCTTACATACGGCCACCCCATTAACACGGCCACCTCGTTAATACGGCAACCTCGTTCTTACGGCCACTTCGTCATCTAATACGGCCACTTCGTTATCACGGCCGCTTTATTCAGGCCTGGACAAAAGCTCGGACATCATTTCTTATTTAAAGAAACCCTTTGTGGCTCGGATTAGAAGGATTCCAGTCTACTAAAAGTCGCCTAATTCCGTCTCCAAACATGAAAGAATACAAGTTGGGAGAATTTTCGGTAGATCGCGGACTGACATGACGCACTTAATGCCTCAAAGAAGCGGAAACTACAACATGATGCAGCGAAATGCGTGAAAGAATTTCACACGGAAATGCGCCAATTTTATTTCACTTGGGCTTTCGATCGACTCCATTGTTATTCGAGAGCGCAATATTGTCTTGAGCCATTACGCCGGATTACTAACGTCAACTACCAGTACGAAGTTTCCGCTTGACTGAATTTGTCGCTTGATCACGGTGTAAGAATTGTTGATGGAATATGCACTTTCACATTTTTACAATTTGCAGTGGAGTTTTGCCGATTCACACGAATCGGAAGGGCGAAAATTGAAAGTAGGAAGTAATTTTGTATTCGTGCGTAGAAACACACCTCCAAACACGCCCACGTCCTCTATTGTGATGTAATCAGTAGCAAAGTCCACATAGACCACAACGATGATGTCGCCAATGGTCTCTTCACAATCGCCCCGATATTTTTCGCTACGCTCTAAATAGCCGCCATTTTTATTAGGATCTGCTCGGAGAATTAAACTGTGCTTGCTGACGTAAAGTTGAAAAAAATATTGTTTGCGAACTTGTACGTGCCAAACTCTCATCCTAAAACCCGTTCGTCTGGTTTGTTATGATGCAAACTGCTGCCTTTGTCGCCCTCTTGATCACGTGTTAATTCTGTTTATAAACAGTCCAACCGGTATTTTCTCTATTTGGATACTACTACTCGGAGTTGTACACGTAGAACGAAATCTACGAAGTGCAGAAAAATGAGCCTTACGAAATTTGCTAGACTTTTTGGAGTTGCGGCTCGAGGGCCTCTCCGATTCGAATTAAGGGCGCTTTCGACAGCCACAGCCAAGTTGGCAGAGGAATGGAAACCGAAAGTTCCACCACCGGAAGAATTGCTGGTGCCTCTGACAGTGCCCACGAAGCTTCTTTTTGGGCCTGGCCCTTCGAATCCATCGATGAGGATATACAACGCTTCTGCGATGTCGCTTCTGGGCCATCTGCAGGCGGATTTTCATCACATAATGGACGAAACGAAGGCAGGTCTGAAGTACGTGTTTCAGACGAATAACGACTACACTCTCGCTATCACTGGAGCGGGACATGCGGCGATGGAAGCTTCGATCATGAACCTTGTCGAACGAGGAGAACGCATTCTAGTGTGTGTTAATGGAATGTGGGGTTCGAGGGCTCGCGAAATTGCCGAGCGGCAAGGTAAGAATCAGAAATCAGCATGAAAATGGCACTTTTAACGTGAATTCATCCATGATATTCTGTGAAGTCCTTGCATATTTCTTCTAAATTTTAAAGATTGCTCATGAATGGCTGTCAACGTGCCAAATTTACACACTAGCGTCATCCCGTAGTCTGGATACTTTGGCGCGCGATCTCCCCAACCTGAATGCACATTTCCAGATGCGCAAACAATTACAATGGAAATTATCCAAAGTTTCTTTTTCTTTCGAACTTTGTACTATACATAACATCGTACACTACATCCTGAAGTCCTCTCCACTGTCAGATTCCTATTGCTCTACTAGCGATGACACGTTTCACGTTTAATACATTCGAGGGGACGAGCGCTCTCAGCCTAGCGAAACATCAACAAGCGCCCCACGGAGAAATTATAAACTGCACAGTTAATGATAAATCGTTATAAAGCAATCAAGTTTCCCTCCTACCCTACATCCGTGGGTGAAGGGGATCTCCATTGCATTTCTATGGTAACACCAAACTTTCTCAGAAACTTTTGTCAAATACTTTATTTAATAACAACAACTGTTTTTTTGCCAGAGCCATTATTATTTCATAATTTTTGAGAATTATTTGTAATAATTTTATTATCTTTCACATAATCAGACCATAAACAAGGTTGGCTGATGAGAGGAGCTCATTATTTTTCTGACTGAAAACAAAATTAAGATATGCAGTAGGCAGTCTTTTGTTTCCTTTTTTTTTTTTTATAAACAAACTTTTTAAGGGTTACAGTTTAAAAAGAAAGAAACTAACTGGGAATCTATAAACAGCATTTGCTTTTAAATGTATGGTTCCAGAAAATATCCATACCCATCCCAAGGAGGGTTGTTAGAAATTTTCAAACAAAAGTATGAATCAAAACTGGAATTTTCAGATGGATGAGGGGCTCAAAGCAAAAAGCCCTAATCTAAGGGAGGGGGTATGGATTTTTTCCAAAACAACACATTGCAAGTTTTTGGGCATTCATAGTAAATCACTTCTGCCATGAATGATCAATGTTTTTAATTTGGTGCAACATGTGTTTCCTTCAAAAGGATGTGATGTACGAGTCCTTGAAAAGTCACCCGGAGAATACTACACTCGTGATGAAATTGAACAGGTGAAATTTCATTTTTTTGACTATTTTTCAGTTTTCTGCACGATCCAGATCAGTTAGCAAAATCGATACAATTGGTCAAACAGTTCATCCGAATGCTGATGATTTTTAGCAACTTTCAATAATATTAATAGAATAAGAAATTTCCTGTCTATTAGTTTCTTTTTCATTGAAAGCAGAGCCAGATCTAACCTAAAATGTTTTAAAACTTCTAAAGAATTTATGACTTGTTAATGTTAATTTTGATTGATCAATGGTGACAGTTGGCAAAACAAGATACCAACACACTTATTTTAAAATCTGTGAATGACACTTAACTAAATGATGATCTTAGACTCAGAGACTGAAAAAAAACACAGAAAAACAATGCCTTCAGACTCATCAGAAAGGAAACCAAGATTTTTGAGATCTGCGGCAAAATTTCCAGGGAACTTTCTGGGAACCATTCACCACCACTTGATTTACTACCCAGTCATACATTCATTTATTCATTATTTAGGTTTTGATTAGTTATTAACATTATATTTTATTTTTTTTAAGGGTCTCAAAGAACACAAGCCGTCAGTGCTTTTCATCGTTCACAGTGAGTCTTCTTCAGGAATATGTCAACCAATGGATGACCTTGGAGCTTTATGCCACAAGTGAGTGTAATGAGGAAAAATTGACAGCAATTATATTTATGAATTGTAACTTTTTGAATAAACATTTCACTGTCATAATTAAATTTCTAACTGAGAGGGAATCTCCTGCCAGTTTAGACTTCTAAGTTAAGATGAAAGCTAAATTTAGAGATTAAGAATGAAAAAAATTAAAATTTTATCAGTTAGTATGGTCATGTACCCTTGGTCATAACTTTTAATTTGGTTGTTCAGTTTTCTATGTAAGGACTCAACTTAAAATTTTCTCAATTACAGGCATAATTGCTTAATAATTGTGGACACTGTTGCTTCCCTTGGTGGAACACCTTTCCTCACTGATGACTGGGACCTGGACTGTGTCTACTCAGGCTCCCAAAAGTGTCTTGGCTCACCTCCTGGAATCGCACCAATTACATTCAGCCCCAGAGCCATGTGAGTATAACAGGGCCATAGCTGTAGCTAGTAACAGGCTAACAGAGGCACTTACCTTGGTAAAAACTTTGAATTTATTTAATATCTCTTTTGAGTTCCTGACAGTGGCCAGGCATTGAGAAAAAAAATAAATCTGTATGCAATATAAGATGCATCTTTTTCTGTTATTGCCTTGGTAAGAATTCTAGTCTGCTGCTTTAACGGCCACAACTAAATTATCTGGGTCACCAGGTATACACATCTCCAATTATTATCTCAGTTATTTTGAATGAGAGTCACTAAGATTTACATGTAGCTAAATTGTAAATCTCATGATCTTATCTCTTGGCAAAAATCATCCTGCAAAGCCTCATGAATAAAGCTGGCCGAGAGTTCACAATCTAAAAAGAAGGGATATTAGGAATGATCTGCAAAGCATTGCCCCAATGGTTAGCATCTAAGTCAGCGGGTTAAATTATAAGGGAGCCAAGGGAGCCAAGTGAAGATTTATAAGGACGTACGTGCGAAAATTTTCCAACTTTGATTTTTTTCTTAGACTTTTACCACTGTAAGATGGTGAGTTATTTATGTCAGAAAATGAAATGTAAGAAAATGGGGGGTCACCGACTTTGTTTTGGAGAGAACATGCCTGGAAGAACATCCTAAATCTGAAAAACTTTGGTTTCATTAACGAATAAGGCCACAGTGTCTGTAAGCCCAAAAGTAGTGCAATTGGAACTTTGAAGTGAAATGTTCTCTGCTAAATATTGTTCAAGTGGACCTATTAAGTGAATTTAGTCAACTGGTGAGGTTCCTTAAAGAACACATTCGCATTTAGCGACCATACATGTAGCTTCAGGCTCCTTGCAGTTGCAAGATGGCAGGATTCAATGTCCTGTGGACAGAAATCTTGAAATTTTTTTAACTTCCCACAGTGATTTTTTTTGTTCATTCATGGACAATGTGGAGATAGTTGTAAATAAAATCTGTTTCTGGAAAGGAAAATAAGGGTTACTGAACGTCCAAGATCATTAAATCCAGGCATTAGCTATATAGCAATGGCCATCTGCCGTATCATGGTTCATTTTAGAACTTAGTGTACTTGCTCATGCATGATGTGGGGTGCGAATTTGCGTGCGCAGTAAGGATGTGCAGAAACAATTAAAGTGAATGTCCTTAACTTTGCTGCGTTAACACTTCTAGGGCTAAGATAAACAGCCGGAGAACTAAAGTACCATCATTTTACTTGGACATGATTGAACTAGGGAACTACTGGGGCTGTGATGAGGACCCAAGAAGGTGAGACATTTTTAGCAATTTTTTACATTTGGTTAGGTATCTTTGGTAAGTTTTTAACTTTTTATTTCCGTTTTGCTGTTTGTGTTTAGGTACCACCATACTGCAGCAATTAATCTGGTTTATGCACTGAGAGAAAGCCTGGCTTTGCTTGCAGAAGAGGTACAGAATTGATGTTCAGGACTTGCAGTGTGTGAAATTTAATTGGCATGTTTCAGATAGCCACTCAGTCAGGACAAGAGATGTCTTCTTGCCTTAATGTTTATAACAAAACCAAGCTTAACAATAAATACTTTAAATCAATGTTTTGTTTTTTAAAGTTTCAGTTCTGATTGAATTATTTGCACTCAATTAACCTCATCAATTGATTAAAACATACATTGGATAAAAAATACCCGATGCAGTTGTGAAATTGTCAGTGAGAATTATTATACAAACTATTTGTTAATATTAAGTGTTTTTGCTTCTTATTAGGGACTTGAGAATTCTTGGAAAAGACATCATGACACCATTGAACATCTCTGGGCTGGACTTGAGAAGATGGGACTGGAGATGTTTGTTAAAGATAAGGTAAAAATGCTTCGACATTTCTTTCTTTTTAATTAGTAAGGGTGGCAATTGGTTAATCTAAGACTTTCTCAAAGTCTTTCAAGGTTGTGGTCAAACCAAGTGAAGTGTGCCCCTCAAGATTACATTTAATGAATTGATTATTTGAATATTGAACCTGCTAATCGTTTCAAGAATTCAATAATGAATTTATTACAGTGGAACTCCGGTAATACGGACAGCAAAGGGACATGCAGTGGTGTCTGCATTATCCGGATTAAGTGGGCTAATTTAAGAGAAAATATATGACCATTTTAGTTGTCAGGACAGAGAAAACTGTAAACTGTCCATCATAAGGGAGTGTCCTTATTAAGCGGGTGTCCGTGGAGTGGAGTTTCACTGTATTTGAATATTGAACTTACTAGTCATTTCAAAAATAAATATTGAATTGATTTTTTGAACATTAAACCCATTAGCCGTATTCTTGGAACGACTAGTGAGTTCAATTTTCCAATAATCAATTCATTATTTCATTCTTGAACTGACTAGCAGGTTCAATATTCAAATAATCAATTCACTAATGTAATCTTGAGGGGTACGCTTCCTCAGGGCGCTTAATTCAAATTTAGGAGAAGACGGGGGGGGCGCTTATTCGAGGGGGGGTACTTATTCAGGGGGGTGCTTACTAATACCTCACCTACGTGTGAACACCAACATAAGCTGTTTATTCACATAAAAAGCTGATCCTAAAGTTCAACATGTTCACTAAACATGTTCACAAACTGAAACAATGTACAAATCTAATACCACATGACGAAAACTATACATCCTCTGTTGTCTCATTACTCGTCCACAAAATGGAGGGGAAGGGAGGGGGCGCTAATTCGAGAGGGTGGGGCTTATTTTAAATTTCGGCCCATAGCAGGGGCGCTTAGGCGCTTATTCGAAGCCGGGGGCGCTAATTCGAGGACTTACGGTAATGATAGCAATTGCAAATCATAGTAAATGATGCCAGCTAGCCTCAACTTATTTAGCCAACTTAGAATCTGTTAATTTTAACTCTTTAAGCTGGAAATAGCTAACTTAACAGAAATAAATCCAATTGGATTTCAGTTCTCCGTGTAACTTCTTATATTGAGATAGTGTGGCAAATTGCAAAAGTAAAGTTTACCGCCAGAGCGCACATTGCATTCTTTCCAAGTGTTTTCATCCTTACATCTTTTGTCAAGTTAAAAAAATAGAAGCCTCAGAGCAAGAGAAAGGTCCAGTAATCTTCCCTTGCCAAGACTAGGAACAGTTCAAGATTTTGTAACACTTTGTTAATGGAAGCCAATGTCTGTATAATGAAAAGTATGTTGGCGCACAATGCATACAAGTTATAACAGAGTTAGACTGCGAGCAGTCTCTCTTTGCTCGAAAATCCGTGAGAAAGAACGCAACGAAGAACACAAAACAACATTAAGCGTGCGAGCGTCAAATGCGAAGCTGCGAGCCGTAAGTACCGCGGGCGTCGGAAGACGTCCGACACCCGCGCTACTCGTGGCTCGCGGCTTCGCCACTCGCCGCTCGTATGTCACGCTCGCAGTGACGCTCGCACGTTCACTTGATTTGCATTCTTCCCCACGGATTCTCCAGCAAAAGAGAGACTATTTTGCGAGTTCTTAATAATTATGTGGTGGTAGGTAGACTTTTCGTAATGACATTACCATCTACACGACTGGCTGTATGTCCAAAATGCCACAAAATTACGTATACACTTAGTTACTGGTCCCGAGGAAAACAGCTAGTTTTGTTTTCCCGAGAATCTCGATGTTTCCCGAGACAAAGTCGAGGGAAAACACAACTGACTGTTTCCTATAGGACCACTCATTTTAAAAGTGGTTTGTTATATACCTGGATTTTATTGTACAGTAATAAGGCAAGAATAAGTCAAAGTAACGTTGGGTTAGTAGGAGAGTGGGCCATTCTCACTCACTCACTCACTCACTCACGTGACCATACATCAACCTGTCAGAGTGCGCGTTAGATCATTCAACTAGACCCCAGCTATCAAACAATTAGATTATTCGCTCTCCATTTCTATTGCGTGATTGTTGACGAGGGCTGCGTTTTAGTATAAATCTACTAGTCGTTCAAAACTTTATCTAAATCCTCTTCACAGACACTTCGAAAACGCCAAGAAGCCACCGTCATTTTGTTAAGGGCGCAGTGCTACGCTACTTACAATCTATCACAGAATATATAGTGAGTAGCGTAGCCAATCAGAGAACGGCATTCGTGATAAACCGCTAGTAGATTTATACTAAATAACAAGAGGGTTTCTTTCCCTCCATCCAAGCTCACTGCTTCTGTTGTAATCAGCTGCTTCTTAAAGGAAAGTTCTTGTTACTTACTATGAGATCTTTCGTTTTCTTTTGAAGTATGTCCACCTGAGCCACCAGAGAACGAAAATTTAATATCTGTTCGGCAGAGAAGTTCAGTTTGCTCTGATCTTGAACGGTCTCGCCAATGCGTTCTGTCTCCACTGAAAACCCTTCAAGTTAAGATAATTTATGATAATGTTGTCTGAATTATGCATGAAAATGTTATAACACATTGCCTCTTCTTATGACATTCGACTAGAATTGTTATTGTGACTTAGCTCGAAGCCTTCATACAAAGGCCTTTTCGAAAAAATTGCCAACTTTTAACCGTTCCTCGAGGAGGCCTAGTTAAAATATATTTAATTTCACCTTTATTTAGGTTAATTTATGCTTGTTGAAATAAAGGTGAAGGTTGAAATGTCCGAAACACCCAACCGGCAATGTTATCATGCAAAGCTGGAAATAACTTATAGTATAGAAATCATTTGACAGTTATTCAAATCGTTAAATGCAATTTCTCTTTAGTTCTACATTCTCTGCAAGTTGTATCAAAATTTTATCTCTTTTTGTATGTAATGTTTATGCTTACATACTACGGAACTAGATTTTTGAATGAAGTTTTCTCCAAAGGATTGATTGTTTTGTTCTGCTTTGAAAAATATTTATAAGTTTTGGACAAATGCGACCAAATTGTTGAATTTCTCAATGATCTGCAGATATTCATTAGAAGTTTTCTCAAAATTTACCAGCGCAAAAGCCGAATCTCTCTGACGCAAACTAGTCGCATTTTAGTTCCTCCTTTCCCCGGAATAATGAAACGAAACATTTAGTCGTGCTTTCGTCAGTGACGTTTACTGTGCTGCGTAAAATATAGCGGAAAAAAATTGTAGAAAAAAATTCGTGACGTGTTAAGACGAAATACGATAGGAAATCGACAATTTCACTTTTTAGTGGACAAAAAATCTTGCACCAGAAAGATAGTATATTCTTTTTACATTTTGTAAAAGCTTAAGATATAAATAGTTGCCTGAAATAACACCAAAACAATTACCTATGGGAACTCGAGAAAATATATTTAAAGTTCGGAGAAATTGTGCAAACACGTAGGTAAAATTTCGTCATGATTTTCATATCACCAATACTTTCAAGTGTTTCATATAAACTTCTAAATCTGTTTTTGATATTTGGTGTTGTTAGAAATGATTTCTTTTGATTTTGATACAAAGTTTCTGTTCGCTTGTTTATACTCGAGCTTCTGGTGAATCCCTTCTTAATAATCTTACCTCCATACACTGCTGCGTAAAAAGCCACCAAAACAGCAGCGAATGTCTTCATGGTTCACACTTAAAACAAGAAATCAACAAGCAAAATCAACTTTAATAAACTTTGCAAGGTTTGTGACTATCTGTCTCGGCCTTTTAGTCAGTTCTGCAGTAATCAAAACAAGATGGCACCATAAAGGCCGTCTGATGACGTGATATGAATTTATTTATTACGTAGTAACAATACGTTTTGGAAGTTGCCCTTTCACAGCTCTTTTTTTCCGCCACTTAAACTTATCCTTGTGAACTTGATTAGCGGAAAAGTTTTATAAAAGAAAGGAACAGTGGTATGAAAGCATAATGACTATTGTAACAATAACCTTCCTACATTACATATCATACCACCCTTTATTATTTTCCATACCGAGTCGAGAAGTCTTCAAATACCATGCCCCGGCGTTTATTTCAAACTTAGCTTCGTTGATCCGGTATCTATTTGACGTTTGCATTATATTAGGAGCTGGAGTTTGTAAAGCTAATTATATCCCGGATATCCTTATATCCTTGAGGGTCTTATTTGCAAATCTACCCGGAGGCCCGGCGTTTAATCACGAAAATAGTATGCTTATTACGACATTACCTATCAAATTTAAGAAAACTAAACATATATACTCTATAGTCTCCTTAGATTAAAAAAAAAA